ATTTTGGCTATTGTGATTAATGCTGATATTATTAATTTTCAAGTTTTTGTTTGGACATATGTTTTCATTTCCCTTGAATGCACATGTGTGATGGTTGAAGTACAAAGGTTTTTTAAAATTTTTTTATTTGTTCTTTTTAGATATACATGACAGTAGAGTATATTTTGACATACATACATGGAGTATAACTTATTCTAATTAGGTTCCCATTGTTGTGGTTGAATATGATGTGGAGTTACACGGGTCGTGTATTCTTTTATGAACATAGTAAAGTTATGTCTGATTGATTCTACTGTCTTTCCTATCTCCCGTCCCTTCTCTTCATTCCCCTTTGTCTACTCCAGTGAATGAAGTACAGAGGTCTTCATTTTGATGATTAGTTTATATACTTTTGCTTTATCTTTTTACTTGTGTTGTAGATAGCTTACCTAAGAAATCATTACCTACTTGAAGGCCATGAAGATTTACTTTTCTTTTCTAAGAATGTTTTAGTTTTATAGTTAGGTGTCTGATCCATTTTTAGTTAATTTTTTCTATGTGACATGAGGATTTTTTGAACTCAACTATTTGTGTTTTGTATACCTATGAAGGAATTTGTTCAGATTTCTTAAATTTTGTTTCTTGCTTCATATCACTATATATTGGTAAATTTCCTTTCTATGTATAGAATACTGAAATTTAGCATAATCATTTTATAATTACCAGTATTCACTGAAATATAGTGTCATGGATTTGCCTTTTTACTCCTCCCATGTGGTATGAAACTTCATGCATCTGTTTAATTTTGGAATATTATAATTTTATGGACAAAGTAACATTTTCCTTGATAGATCATTTAATATTCAAGAGAAATGTAAGTAATCTGGAACTGGCAAATACAGTTGCTGTCTCAAAGCCTCTACGTTAGAGAAGGAACTCTGCTACTTACTGTGTTTTTTTGGCTCTGTTAAGACATTTCTCAGCAAATTCAGAAGCCCGAGGGGCTCTAAATTATAGCACCTGATGGCAGTCGGTGCCACCTGGCTTATGGAGCTCTTATGTGCATGTGTGTATGGAAGAGTGGGTACTGAGCTGATAACTTACAGTCACAGGAAAGGTTATGATGCTGAGTATTATTTTCCATCACTAGGGATTGAACCCCCAGGTATGTTTTACCACTGAGCAACATATCCCTGCCTTAAAAATTTCTTTGGTCCCAGGGATTGAACCCCAGGGTGCTTAATCACTGAGCCACATTCCAAGCCCTTTTTATTTTGAGACAGGTTCTTGCTAAGTTGCTGGGGCTGGCCTCAAACTTGTGATCCTTCTACCTCAGCCTCCTGAATTTCTGGGATTATAGGTTTGTTCCTCTGTGCTCAGCTGATGCTCAGTATTTTAAGAAGCAAAGGCTGAGTGCATAACGTAATGACAAAGTGCTTGCCTACCATACATGTGTTTAATCATAGGTGTACCTATATTTAATCCTTGGTACCACAAAAAAGGAGGAAGAAAAAAAAAAAACTAGAAACCTGGATTTAAAAAGTAAAAATCATCACAATTAAGCATCTAATTATCTCCAGATTTGTTTCAGTGACATCTTTGTATATATTCTTAAGAAAAAAATAAGGTAGAAGTTCTTTTTCTAAATTTTTATTATACTTTTACTAATTTACTTTTATGTGGTGCTGAGGATAGAATCCAGTGCCTCACATTTGGTAGGCAAGCGCTCCACCCCTGAGCAAAAACTCCAGCCCAAGGTAAAAATTCTTTAATTTGCTAGGGAGCTGATTGGACAGTGGGGAGAAAATAGGAACCTCAATCATGACTGATATGATAGCATTTCTTCGTATTATATCAAACATAACGATTTGTACCTATACTCATAAGGCATCTATATTATTCACGTTTTTTAATTTTAGAAACAGTCCTGTGTTCTCTTAGGTTAGTACTCCTGTATGTTCAGTGCTTGTAGGAGTTTAGGATTTTTTTTTTTTTTGAGTATTACATACTTTGCTGTTTTAAGTCATGTTTTTGTATACAGTTTCTTATATGAGATTACCTAGCCAAAAGTATGTTAGCTATTTTAGACTGCTCTTAGCATATTTATTTTTTTTGGGGGGGGCACAGGAGATTGAAGCAAGGGGTGCTTTGCTGATCTACCTCTCCCACACTTTTGTTTTTTATTTTGAGAAAGCGTCTCACTAAGTTGCTGAGACTGGCCTCAAACTTGTAATCCTTCTGCCTTAGCTACTCAAGTTGCTGGGATTACAGGTGTGCACCACCATGCTTAGCTGCTTTGAAAATATACATCAGTTTTTAGTGTGGCTAGTTATATGATTAAATACTTTTTCATAGCCTGTGTTCCCAGCACTGATATTGTGTACTGTGCAGTTGTTAAGGAATCTGTAGAGATACAACTTATCTTTTCATGGAAAATTGTATAGTCGATCCTTTGAATCCATGGATTCCATATCATATTTCAACCAACCACACTTCAGAAATATATTTTAGAATAGCTGTGTCTCTACTCAACACATATAGACCTTTATATAGACCTTTGTTCTTGTTATTATCCACTAAACAATATAACAACTGCAATAGAACATTTACATTGTATTAGGTGTATTTTAGAGATGATTTACAGTATACTGGAGAATGTGTAATATATATTGGTTAATGCAAATACTTTTTCTTCTCAGTGGTGTTTGTGTTGGGGAGGTGTTCTGCAACCAGTCCCTGTGGATACACAGAGATGATTATGCTTAGTTTGATACCCATTGAAGGATTTTAGTTTAGAAACTGGCACCCTCAAAAATAGGTTCTTTTCCTATTCTGAGCAGAATGTTTCTCAGCATTTATATTCACCTACAAACTTGTGGAGTATGTGTTCCAAGACAGGATAACAATGTCAAGAAAGTTCTCCCCTTCCAGAGAACTTGTTTTTGCATATTATGTGTGAGCTGTCTTAGTTTTCTTTAGTATTTTCTAGTGGGATCAATAGTCACTCTAAGATAGTCACATTACTGAAAATAGGAAGATTCAGGGAAACAACCTGACAACTAAGAAAACTGACATTTTGGTGCATTTACTTTCCATGTTCCTGGGTTTTTAAAAATCATTCTTGTGATTATCCTCAGAACATAGTTTTGAGCATGTTCTGTTACTACCTACATTGTCCCATATGATTTCCCCCTGTGTTATTTTTCAAGTGGATGTACCTTGGTGTTTTTTAAACCACCATTCTCCCATTATTGAGCATTTATGACTTTACAATTTTGTGGAGCATATTTGGGGGCAAAAGGTATGCTAGGGTTTTATCTCCTTAAGTTGGATTCCGAGAACTGGATTTTCTGGGTTAGAGGAATAAAAACCTTTAGTGATTCCTCAGACTTTTTTCTTAGAGACTGTTTCCTTCACAAGCAACCCCTTCCACCACTGAAATTACAGGTCTTCCTCATTAAACATAGACCTGACCTCCAGTTTAGAAGCAATGCTTAACTCAATCCCAGGGCTCACGTCGGAACCAAAATAGTATTTGGCACCTCACCCTCTTCAATAAGAAACCCTCTTGAAAGTTTCCTTATACCAAATTCTGTGTCTAACATGATCACAAATCAATAGACAAACCAGTCCAAAAGAGAGTGCAGCCAAAAGGAAGAGCCACTGGGAGGTAGGATTTAGGTGATTTCTGCTTTTGTTTTTTGTAATGTTCTTTTATTTTTGTTATGCTTTTAAAGGGGGGAGGGTGTTTCTAAATTGAGTTGGATAAGTGGATAAAACAAAACAGCCCAGGCCTCCTGAGAAGAGTTTCATGAGCGTAGTAGTGACTCTCTGTGGATACATGAGAAGAATTTACCTTGTAGGTTAGATTACAGCAGGTGAAAGGAAAGAGAAGACTCAGCCCTTGCATGAGGTGCTGGGTGCTTGAATCCCTCTGTCTGCCCCACTGAGACCTGGCTGTGTGGCTGCAGGACCTGTGACTGGCGCTGGGGCGTGGGCACGGCACGGTGCGGTACTTCCTCTGTCTGCAGGAGCTGCTCAGGGGCCCACACTCTGAGGGGCACCCAGGAGGCCTCTATATGGGCAGGGGTGGGGTGTCCTGTGAAATTTTTGAACAAAGAAAATGAGTTATTCATAATGCAATTTACCCTGACTTTTTGGCAGTTTGATTTAAAAATAACTTTTTTTTTATATTACGAAAAAGACCATTTACTAGCTTGCTAGTCATCTGTTAGATCAGTCAGAGTTGTTTGCAACCCAGCTTTTTTGAGTAGCACTTTTTCTATTACTCCTAGCACATTTTGACAATTATAGGGTAAAGTTTATGAAGAGATGTTCTTGGACTCAGATTTTATAACAAATGAACTGTTTGGTTTAGTCTCTAAAGCTGTGTTGCCCATTCCAATAGCCACTAGCTGTGTGTGGCTGGTCAAATTTAGACAAATTAAAATGTTATTTCTTCATTGCACTAGTCACATTTCATATGTTTATTAGCCACATGTGGCCAGAGGCTTTCAAATTGGATAGCACAGATAAAAAGTACATCTCTACCATCACAAAAAGTTCTCTTTGTGCTACTCTACAAGAAAAGACTCCTTTTTCTTTGCATGATAACATGAAGAGATAATTGTGCAAGGACTTCAAATGGTGTACATCTACAGCTTTTTCTAGGCAAGCTTGCAAATTACCAAAGATCCCAACTTGGAGGAAAGTGGCTTTGTCAGCTTTTGGAAATGAAAACATTCTGAGCATTATCAGTGTACCTGTCTAACCTAGAACTGAGGTGAATGAACTATTAATTAATCCTTATTTACATCCACCAGACTTATTTGGTTTATGACATGGTCACAATGATAATTGCTTAGGGTGGGAAACCTAGCATTCCTTGTTGTTGCCATAAAGTGTGGAGCAGGTAGGTTGTCTGCTTCAGTGAAAAGAACCCAGATGAACCAACTATGGGAAATGCAAATTTGGAGCTTTCTTGATATTGGTGTGGTTTTTTTCCTTCTTCCTCCCTGCAGGAGAACTGCGGCACATCACCAAGCTGAAGCCCTGGAGCCTCTTTGATGTACTTGTAGAAAAGTATGGCTGGCCCCATGAAGATGCTGCACAGTTTACAGATTTCCTGATCCCGATGTTAGAAATGGTTCCTGAAAAACGAGCCTCAGCTGGCGAATGCCTTCGACATCCTTGGTTGAATTCTTAGCAAATTCTACAAATATAGCATTCTGAGCTAGCAAATGTTTTCCAGTACATTGGACCCAAACGGTGACTCTCATTCTTTAACAGGATTACAAGTGAGCTGGCTTCATCCTCAGACCTTTATTTTGCTTTGAGGTACTGTTGTTTGACATTTTGCTTTTTGTGCACTGTGATCCTAGGGAAGGGTAGTCTTTGTCTTCAGCTAAGTAGTTTACTGACCATTTTCTTCTGGAAACAATAACATGTCTCTAAGCATTGTTTCTCGTGTTGTGTGACATTCAAATGTCATTTTTTTGAACGAAAAATACTTTCCCTTTTGTGTTTTGGCAGGTTTTGTAACTATTTATGAAGAAATATTTTAGCTGAGTACTATATAATTTACAATCTTAAGAAATTATCAAGTTGGAACCAAGAAATAGCAAGGAAATGTACAATTTTATCTTCTGGCAAAGGGACATCATTCCTGTATTATAGTGTATGTAAATGCACCCTTGTAAATGTTACTTTCCATTAAGTATGGGATGGGGACTCAATTTTTCAGAAAAGCTACCAAGTCCTTAGTGCTTTGTAGCCCAAGTTGCATGTAGCAGACTCACTGCTTCAAGGAGTTGTGCAAATTTTTCATTCCATAACAGTCCATTTACATTAGATTTTTAAATAAAATGGCTCTGGGTAACAAGATGTCATTCTCTATATGGCACTTTAAAAGAAGAAAAGACATGCTTTTCATTCTAAAATATACCTTATAATTGGGCAGTTCCATTTGTATTTTTGCATATTTTTTAAAGTACTTTAAAAGAAAAAAAGCGATTTCTCTTTGAAAATGTGATAGCCTGGTACCACATTGTGTTGCCTTCTCCAAACACTGTAAGTTAAATACATGAAATTGGACAAGAGAAACATGTTCAGTGTGTGGAATGAAAAAATATATATATTTTTTGGAAAAGCATGATCGTGTTTGTCTAAACACAAGGTATGGTATATACAGTTTGCAGTTCGGTGGGAAGAATACTTTTCACAGCTCAAAGGTAACAATGATCACGTTCATTCCATAGGCAGCTTTATGTGTGGCTACAACAGCTTATTATACTAGCTTTTTCTTTGTCTTTCCATGAATGAGAAAATGATTTTCCCTTTGCAGGTTGCACACAGTTTTTGTTTATGCATTTCCTTAAAATTAATTGTAGAATCCAGGACACAAAATCCATTAGTAGGCAATACAATTTTAGAATGTTAATATATAGAGGTATATTTAGCCTCTTTTAGATGTCAGTGAAATGAATGTCTTTTATTTTAAATTTTACATTCATTAAGGTGCCTCTTTTTTCTTGACTTTGTCCATTAACATTTATTCATATGCCTTTGCAATAACTAGATTGTGAAAAGCTAACAAGTGTTGTAACAATAATCCATTGTTTGAGGTGCTTGCAGTTGTCTTAAAAATTAAAGTGTTTGGTTTTTTTCCAGACATTGCCTTGGTCATTGCCCTATATTTGAAGTGACAGGATCAACAAACATTTGCTTTCAGTGTCTTCCAAACTAAAAAGAATACCAACATTCCTGCTGCAGCATATGTAGTTGTAGAACATGCATTCAAGCTTATTATAAGGAAATCATTTATTTTTTGAGAGCAGAAAGTATTTAGGAAAGATGATAACAGTATAGATTCATTACCTTCAACTTGTCATCTTTTTTATCCATGTTTCATCAAAAACATACTAACTGCATTTTAAACTTCTCAAATTTTCCTTAACAGCATTCACTCTGAGGGAACAAGAGAGACAATCCTCTTAGGAACTGGCATTATATCTTATGTTGCTGTGAGGTAGAATGAACCATTCATTGATGAGATCTTCATGCTAAGTTTTTCTAGTGAGGCTCTAGGTTTCCATGTAGATTCTATGACCAGTGATGCTATTATGCACAAATTGCACTGGAAACATTTTTACAGGAGCCAGAGTACATATGTGTCCTCTGGGTAAGAATTTTCTGGAAGGTTAGAGTATACTTGAATGAAATTTGTCTAATGCAGTTTTAGTTCATGTTAGGAAGGAAACTAATTTTAAGGTGTTAGCCTTATGATAAAATAGCCTAAATACTAACTTGTTTTCTATGTAGAAACAGTTATTCTAGAAGGAATTACATTTGTATTAGGAACTATATGGTTTTAACAGATTCTTGGTGGCTTGTTGATAAAGAATGCATACAAGGCAAAGGAGAACCACTAGTTGTGCTAAATATTGTAGCCTGCTTAGTGAACTTCATTGAATATCCTATCTTTTTTCCTGTGGTCCATGTGAAGTCTTCATGGAAAGTTGCAAGCAGTGGATCACATAGGGGGATTATAGCCAGTTCAGAACCTGGCTGTCTGCACATTGGCCAACAGTACTGCTCAAGGGCCAAGAACAAATGGATATTAAGAACTTCAAAGGGGCATATACTTTTAGGTGAAAACTGATGTACTACTTGCTTCTTCCTGTACTTGGACCATACATAACTTATTAATGGGATAAAGTATGGGAACTTTCCATGGGCATAGAGAAACTGTTTATTTCTGTACATTATTTCCTAAAATTTCATATTTTTTCTCTTTTTTAAAATGAAAGTTTGGTAGAGGACAATGTTTGAAGAATGTGTGTGTCCATCAAAGAGTCAAAGAATTTATTTACTGTTTCACAGTTTTACACAGAAGCTTATGTATATATTAGTTTTGTAGTAGGCCAAAGTAGGAATAAAAATGCTTTAGGTGGGGGCCTTCTAAAGAGATGAATATTGATATTTCACATGCCAGTTAACTTTGCTGTGTTTGAAACTATCAAGAGGGACAGATGATGTAAACTCATTTCTTCTCAAATGTTTTTTTAGTCATTAACATAAGCAGCATTTTGTTTGAAGATCAATGATGGCAAAGTTGACCTTTGTTCTTAAAGCTCATTAGGATTGAACTCTAGATAAGCTGTATTGATGCACCATCGTCAGCTAATTTTCAAAAGGAAATGGAAATTAAAATCATAAAACATGACTTAAATTACTACCAAATCTCATTCATTTTTTAAGTCTATTTACTTTTTTTCTCCTAATGCACAAAATATGTATAGTATATAGTGCCCAAATTATGTCAAAGTATTTGGATGATGAGAAATATGTTGATAAAAACAGTGTCATTGCTATTGTATACACTTAATTAGTGTATACCTAAGAGGTAGAAGGCAAAGGCTGGGAATTTTTATTTTCAAAACTGAACTAGCATTTTATATTTAGGAAATAAAAAATTCACTTGAGAGGCCATTTATTTTTCTTAAATAATGCCATTTCCCTTTAGTTTTGTATACCCAAGCCAAATTTAAATTTCACTTATCAATATTTCAGTGGTGTTCTAAAATGTGCAAATTAGATATTGCTGTTTTTTAGGCAGACTAATTTTAAAAAAAAAAATAACTTGTAAATTGCAGTCTGTAACTCTTTATCGTGTATAATTCAGTAGTGGTCTGGATTCATTGTGATGTCACATACTTAAGTAGACTTACACAGCATGACTATTTAATTTCCTGTGATTCTTGCTTCTACAAAAATGGCAAGTAGAAACCTTGATGGGAACAACCTCTTACTCCCTCTAGCTCTCCTCCTGAGGTAGTAGTCACTACAGAAAATTTAAGTTTCTTTACAAAAATTGTATTTGAAAACTGTAACTCTCATAAAATCAGTCAAGCAGACCCCCATCTTAGAAGTTGTACAGGACAATTTGGTAAAACTGACATAATTGTGATTTATTAACATGAATTAAAATGCCCAACCAGTGCTTCAATGTGACAGTATATTTAAAATAAAAAAGAAATGAAAGGTCATATACTGTACTACTTTCACAAAGATCACACAGTTTTGCAAAAGACTTGTCATATGTACAATGCTATATATCAAATGAAAAAAGCTGTAAGCAATTATATACGCAAAAGAAATGCAGTATTTACAGTTTGTCAGGAGACATTAGAAATCATCTATACATTAAATTACATTCTGCTTGCAAATAACTGATAAAACAAAATGAGCCATGTCCACACCAAACTATAAAAATCTGTATTGCATTTTATACCTAAGTTGCACTCATAGAACTGCTGCCCAAAAAAAAAAACTTCATAGTGCCATTACTTAGCTGTGTACTTAATGCATATGTAGAAAATAATATAGAAAACATTCACTAAATGAATTCAACTGCAACAATAAAATTTAAAGATCATGTAGCATCAAATCTATTGCCAGAAAACAGCTGGAATGTTCACTTATAAAATAAAAGATACCTAATACTGGCTTAGCACATTTTTTTTTTTAAGGAATTTTAAAAAGCAAAAATGGGAAAAATACAATGAAAGAGCACTGGTTTTTGTTTTTGTTTTTTTTTTTATACAAAGTTTCATGTACAAGCTTTAAAAAGTACCTTAATAGGTACATATGAAATATACAGTTTATCTTACAGAACATTTTAAAAAATGTTTTTGGAGTCCATTTTAATGCCACCCTGAACCATGGTAATTGTTCTGAAACGTTGGTGGCACCTGTGCTCTGTGAATTGGAATCTGTCCAGGCACTGGCGATGCCTGCTGAGGTCCTTGCACCCCATGTGGCAGGGCCACAGAGCCAGGATGAGGACAGAACCCTGAAGCAGTAGGTGTTGGAATACTGTTTGGTCCTTGGGGCTGGAGATGAGGACCTGCAACAGGTAATGGACAATGTGGCCCTGTTCCAGAAGGCTGGTGTTGGGGTCCCGGTCCCAAAGTGGTATGATGTGTAGCTTGTGAGGGATACGGTGGTACAGCTGGATGAGCACTTGAAGGAAAAAGTGGAGGTCCTTGATGAGGTGGGTGGTGTAAAGCTTGGCCTGATGTCGTATGATGCCCAGAAACCAAAACACTGGATGGAGGAGGGGGAGGAGGAGGCGGGGGTGCTGAATTTACAACATGCTGGTGTTGTGCTTGTAGACCTTGGAGTCCTGTGGAAGGATGGGGTGGCGGATGGTGATGAGGGGCAGGACCAGGGGGTGGAGGGGGTGGTGGTAAATGGTGTCCAGCAGTTTGAGAATGCATATGTGACCCAGGAGTGACAGCATGAACTGCCCCTACTACATGTGCTACAGAGTGTTGCTGATGGGAATTCGGCTGTTGTACAAGGTGTGGTCCTGGAGCAGGTGGTGGAGGAGGAGGGGGTGGGACGACAGCAGCAGAAGTTTGATGGTGAATGGTGGGGTTCTGAGAGGACAAAAAATGCCCTGGAGTAACATGGTGTCCTGGAACTGATTGCTGGCTTGTGGTGCCAGGAAGTGCTTGATTTGGTCCTGATGTAAACACAGTTTGTTGGGCAAGACTACCTTTGAGCTGATTATAATTCTGAAAGTTTGCAGGGGGCTGCTGGTTTTGATAGTAAGACGAAGAAGGAGGCGGAGGGGGTGGGGGTGGTGGTGCCGTGCTGTTCACACTTTGTTGGTTAAACTGACTGTATGTTGCTGAAGATTGTCCTGAGGGTGTCTGTGTAAATAATGCTCCAGAAGTTGCCTGCTGAGTATTGGCTTGAAGGTTCTGTGCTGCTGGATAAAAATTTCTCTGAGGCTCTCGCTGAGGGGTTCCAACTTGAGGTGACTGTGAATGATGAGGCCTGTAGGGAGATCCTAACTGCTGTGCAGGAGGCTTTGGTGAGAGATAACCATGCTGTACAGGTGTGTGAGGCGTAGATGGCTTAGGAGGGTTTTCTATGTGGGGTGATGGAGGGCAGTGCAACTTCGTTGGTGCAGAAGGCAGCTTTTGTGAAAGTTGCTCAGATGAACTGCGAACATGTGGCTGAGGAGGATGGTTCTTTGAAAGTGCTTGGGTGTTATTTGATAGCTGTTTTTGTTGGAGCTCTGTTTTTAGGTGAACACTGTTCTCAGCTTCTGATACAATAACTGTTGTCTCCCAATGGGGATCTGGTTTTGTGAGTATTTTCCCATGTGGTTGAGCAGGAATTACAGGTCCCGGTGAACCAGGCTATGAAGAGAAAACAAATAAACTTTGATATATTATATAAACTTAAGAAACATTTTATGAACCTTGAGTTTTATTCTTGTTGGTTTAATATGTTAAATTTTAAAAGGGGGAAGGAAATGTAGGGTTGAGAAGTCAACAATAGAGGCTTGAGATGTTGCAAGGCCAGTTTCTGTGAGTGGTTTCAACAAATTCCGGTGAGTGTACAGTGAATTTTACTGAAGACAAGTTGAGGAAATTAGTCTGCGTTTTTCTGAAAGGAGAAAGACCCATTTTGGAGTCTAACTGAATACTTCTATCCAGGGCATAGATTGGTTTGGGTAAATAAACTTGCTTTCTTGGACCATTTTGATTTTTAATACCTTTTCATTTTCCTTGTAAACTGTTCACACGTAAATAATCCAAAAGATCTTTTTGTTGTTAAGATACGAAAACCAATCTTAAGATTCCATATCATCTGTTCCCAGTGATTTACCTGACACATCAGATTATCATTCCTCTACATGAATTTGTCACCTGACCTTTTGTTTTTAGAGAATTGACTAGATATGTATTTCATGAAGTTATGAGTTTCCTAGATACCACTAGAATAGAGGTGAACTTTTTTAAAAAATGTAAGTTTTAAAAGTTTGCCTAGAAAACTTGAGTGTTTGATCCAAATTGTCTGTCAATCTCAGAGACAGACCAAACAAAATATTAAACACAACTGAGTACGTTCAGAAGGAAGAATCCAGAAATCATAAACTGATACTTAATGCAGTAGAAAAAAAATTGCCTGCATATTACCATCAACTTTTCTGAATGGCCATGTTCAAAGTCTTTATTATTACCTTGCTCATTTTTGAAGGGCTTTTACAAGTGTTTTGAGAAGTATCTGGGGATGGACATTCATTTGTAGTTGTGGGTTCTGGATTTTCAGAGTCAGGGTCTGTAAAACAGAAGAAACTATGGTAAATGTAACATTACACGAAAAATACTGCCTTTTATTGACACCACAAAACGATATACCTTCTGTTACTCAAAGCAACTTTTTTTTCCTGATTCAAAAAGGTGTTTAAAACAATATAGCCATGATAGGTCATCTGCTTACTGACCTTCCATGAGTTCACTGAAAGAAGGGGCTAGGCCTTTAGCTTGCAACTGGGAAATGTGATTTGAATGAGATGAAGGTGAAGACTGAACATGACTCGGTGAACATGAGACACAAGGTGATTCTCCCCCTAGAGATGAAGCAGAGCAGTAACCAAAGAGAATATTAGAGCTTACAAAGAACAAGAGTCCAGGGTGACTAGCTGTCTCCACTTTTCGGTGAAAGAACAAGCTTACTTACCACTGTCTTTATCTTTTCGGTGATCACTAAGAAGTAAAGCTCTCTGGTAACTCCTTTCTCTCACTTGTTCCACTGAAGTGGAGGCAGTCCTTTAAAATAAAATTAGTTCATCCTTAATTCAAAGAAGCTACTGCCAGTTAGATTATTCTTTGTCCCTTGAAGGTCCACATGTCCTCTCAGTTCAAGGATTTTGCTCTATTGGGAAAATACTTCCATGTTAAAGCTTTGAAAATAGCTAATCTTCTCTTATTTTGCTAATTGCTCCCCAAACTGAGACTTATTTGAATAACTAAGACTTAATTCTTTTTGCCTCCACCAATTTGTTGAAAAGAAGAAGGGGGAAACTTTAATGTAGGAATATTCAGAAAGTCACTTTAGGTTACCAAAGGTACCAAAAAACAAACAAACAAACAAACAAACAAACAAAAAACTGCCTTACACACTTTCAGGATTTGGAAAGGAACAAGAAGCAGAGTAACTGTTAGTGTCCTCTTGCCACTTTGCCAAGACCTCACCTTAAAAACAGCTGCTGCTAACACTCCTACCAAAGAAAACTCTAAACCTGTTTTTCTTTCAAGGTAATGGTAGAGGTTTTAAAGAAATGGTTGTGACAAAAATTCTTTCAAGAGGAAAATTTGAATGAAAAATGTGGATAAATAAAGGAATGATGAAAATACACCTTTAACAACTCGGGCAAATAAACAAACAGCTAGTTTAAAACACTATCAGCAAAGATGTTTCAAGTCACCTTAGCCTTGGGAGAACCATAGCAGGAATCTTTTTCTTGCCAGAGTAGCATATTTCAAAACAGGCTTACCACTGAACTTCAGGTTCATTCTTCTCACTGGCAGCTTCTTTAGCAGGACAGTTATTGCTGGTTTCTTCAGAAGTAGCATTATAAACTGCAGCTGGTGTTGGTAAAGGCAGGCTAGCTGTGTTTTCTGCCTGTTCTCCGGTTTCATTACTTTGGACACACCCATCACTATTGTTGCTCAGGTTTCCACTTGCATGAGGTGATATACTAACCAGAGGAAAGTTTTCTGTCTTAGAGCCACTTTTCCTAGCTTCACGTTGTCTCTTACGGTATTCTAATAGAGAAACCTTAAGCAAGAAAGAAAAGGCAGATCTTTTATTCTTGTCTTTCATAACAGAATCAATTCATTCTTTTTTCTAAAGAAAATTATTTTATTTATATTAAGAAAATTACATAAAATAATTTGATTCTCAAGAAATAATTAACTATCAAATGCCCACTATATATTAGGCATTGTACTTAGATGATTCATATACATTATCTCATTTAATCCTCACAACAATCCTATGAAATAGGTATATTATCATCCCCATTTTACAGATGAGGAAATTGAGTAACTCACTCACTCAAGGTCACACAGCTGGTGAGTGTTGGAGCCGGGATTCGAACCTAGGTCTTACTTGAAAGCCCGTGCTCTTTCCACTATACTACATTGCTTCCCACAAAGTTGCCAACTGGACTCTGTTATAAAAATTAAAAGCACACATCACTAAAATTCTTTGACTTGTAAAGCAATAAGCCTATTAACAAATAAGTGCTGTATGTAGTTTCTCCCATTCCTCTGAAATAAGGCATTCTAAATCTCTCAACATGTCTGCCAATGAAATAATGGTGGTAAATCATGGAACTTGCATATCACAGTATAATATTATTAGTATCATACTTTACAAAATACTTATGTCCATGGTGTAAATAGTATTGGTATTATGGGATGCTGAAAGGAACATGTATTCAATTACAAGGATGCTTGCTTAATATAAGGTTAAAAAGAATAAAATTATTCATCTCTTTTGAATGAGGGGGGTTACTTCTAAGTTACTCATATATTGAGATTTCTCTCAAACCCATATATCTTAACAAGGACAATTCATAGCACTAGAATTTTTCACTTTTCTGTAAACATTTGAATATTTACAAGTGTTTTAAAATATACAGATAATCTGGGGAAAAATGTACACATAAAAATTTTAACTCAAATAGCTGAATTCGGAATGCCTTACATAATACATCAATTAACCCTCAATATTAATACTAAGAAACACTATGAAAGGACTATAAATCGTTAAATTTGTAACCTTTTTCTTTTGTGGTGGGTTCTGGGGTGTGCAACTCCCGTCGATCAAATTGTCATTAACGGTCCGTCCAAAACCAGAGACAAGCCCATCTTCGGAAGTACAAAACAGAGCTGTTTCCATAAACATGCCTCTAGTATCATCCTGCATCAGGCACTTTGACTCACTTATTCGGAAGCCTCCTCCAACCTCCAATTGGTGTGAGGGTGTCAAGTCCCTCAGGTTGGAGTTCACTGAGAAGTTAACTCCTGTTCTGTCAGGACTCTTTACCCAGGAAGAATATATTGTGCCCCGTCCAGAGTGAGTCGAATCCAGTTGGCTGTTAGGCTCAGTCCTGTCATGTGCAGGTGTTTCCACTGTTTTATGTAAAGCGCTTGACTCAACTGCATCCAGTCCCAGTTGAAGGTCTGACACAGGTTCCTTTTCTCCAGGGCACTGCCTGTTGACTTCAGCCCTACTCCTAGGGCTGGTATAACCAATGGTCTTTATTTCTTGCAGACCCAACTCAGTTAAACTGGAATTTCTAAAAGGCCCCAAAGTTAAGATGGTTGAAGATCTCTCATATCCCTGTTTACAGAATTTAAAAAAAAAAGTCATATAATGATATTGAGACTGTTTACTTCAAAATCTACCAGTAATTTAGGCAAAACAATCATATTACGCAAACAATCAGCAACTTTTTTTTTTTTTTAATAACAGCTCACCTCTTGGCTGTAAGTGCGTCTCTTTATTTCTGGAGAACTTTCTGGGGAAGAAATATTCTATATAAAAGGAATAATGGGAATTGAAAATTAAAATACATGAACTAAATATATGATGTTTTTATAAATGAAAACTTAAAATTAGAAACATTTTGGTTTTAGACTTTATTATTTTATTTCCATTCCTCAAGATATTTGCTTTCAGGTCAATTTGATACATTTAGTCTACTGTATATATTAAGAGGAAAGTTAAACATTGAATAAAAATGTTTAAATTCATATGAATATATATTCCCAAATTTTATTTTATATTCTCAGCACACTAATTGTTAGAGGAAGTGTGGGGCAAGTTCTTAATGAAACTCAAAAACCAAGAGTTGAAAATTTTTTTCATTGAAATTTCTCACCTCAAAGTGCATGGTATTTCCTGGTGTACCAGGAGTTACTGGAGTAACTGGTGAATATATAGGTTTATATCCATTTCTACAAGTTTCATCATCTGATTTTATCCGTGGAGGAGTGGCAAATGATGGGTCCATAGAAGTAATATCCGTATGAGTTGGTGTAGCATATGGTGAAGGAGTAGGTGTGGAGGTTTCTGAGTAAACAGAATTTAGCAACTGATAAAGTCTTCGTTTTTTTAGTGGTGTAGTTAAATCTGTTGGTGAGATAATAATCTGTTAGAATTACTATAAGTCTGTAATATATAATGTATTACATTCTGGGAAAGAAAATCTCATCAATAGTTAGTATGATGACTTTCACCACAAAACTAAACATTTAAAAAAAAAACAAATATGAAATATTCCCCACACTCAAATAAGTGAATTTCACTATTAGCAAGCATTGTCCTGCTGAATGCTTATAGGACTAGAAGATTCAAAGAAATCATGTAAGTACTGATAGGTTTTTCTAAGAGTCCTTTTGAATCTGTTTGAAATCACCCAGCCCCAAAGCCAAAACAAAGCCATTAGAAATTCAACCATATTACATAGCAAGGATTTTTTTTATCTTTCTTCCTCTAAAAGGCTAGGAGAACAGAAATGAGAAAGAAGAACAGAAATGAGAAAGTTTATCAGAATGTGTTTCTCTGCTAAAGTACACAACAGTAAAGAGACTCTATGCCTGTTAGAAAGATGTATATCCTGACACATTTCTCATGTTAAAACAATACTAAAAAGAAATTCTACCTGGAAGGGAACAGCTATCATTTAATAGTAGTGGACTTTTATTTTCACCATTGACTGTAGGACTTCTGGATCTTTCTTGAAAGGGTGAATTAAATCTGTGTAAAATTGCTGAATTTTCTTCTTCTAGAGCTTGTTTCAACCATCGCTGAGTAAAATGGAGAGATGGAGAAATAAATGAATAGGATTCGTACCTGTTCATATAGCCTATAAATGCAGAGCCAATTCCAAAATCATTTCACTACCAGGAATGGTAGCAAGGAATGAGAATAACATTTGGCTCATTCTAGAGTTTTATATTGAAAGAAAAGTTTACCTTTTTGCACGAGCCAGAAATGTTTTCAGTAGGTTCTTTCCTTCTCCTTTTTTCTGAAAGGAATGGTGAAGTAAATCTAATATAATGCTTAGGTGTAGAGTATACATGGGGACTATAAGTGAGGCCTGGTAAAGAATTGAGCTGTGTAGCTAACACTTCTGGATCTGTAGTTATACGCAGAGGCCTTTCTGAAAGGCTGTCTGAAGGCTTTCCTGTCTTCTCATTCTTCTCACTTAACCATTCATTGACCAAGTGCTAGAGAAAAGGAAAATTGGGGTCACTATATATTTAATTGCACAGATTCTCCCATAGAATATTCTAAGGCAAAGTAGAAACTGATATATACATGCAATGACCAAAAATCAGTATATCATTCTACATTTCATTTTATTCTTGAAAGGTTTTACACAATTTTTTGTGTGGTGCTGGAGATTGAATGCAGGGCATCTATCTGTATATTCTACCACTGAGCTACCTGTAACACTGTTTTTTAATACTGTAAAATTTAGGAGACATCAGTACCACCAACACTAAGTTTAGGTTTGTTGCTGCCTTTATTATATGCTTAAAATGTTAAGTAGCATTTTTCTACCCAAGATGCTCCTCACAGTCTCCTAGAGATGAGGTCAGTTTATGTACTCAAGAACAAAACTCTTAATAGTACTAAGAGATAAATTGAGGTTGCATCCAGGGGCACTTGCATCCAGGGGCACTTTAGTGCTGAGCTACATTTTCAGCCCTTTTTATTTTGAGACAGGGTCTAAGTTGCCAGGCTGGCCTACAAATTTTGAATCCTCCTGCCTCAGTCTCCTGAGTAGCTGGGATTATATGTGTGTGTTACTACCCCTGGCTTACCTAGTCCTTTTCTTAATTCTTGGTAATTTCTTTTTTTGCTTTCTGGGTATTTGTGTTTATCTGGTTATCAAATAAAATCCTTTGAATTTCATATTACAAATGTAGATTATAGAAAAGGCCACATAATTATATAAACATACAGAAATATGCACATTTAAAAAAAAATCTGTCATTGGGATATACCTATAGTACCAACAACTCAGAAGATTAAGACCAGAGGACCACAAGTTCAAGGACAATGGCAGCAATTTAGCATGGCCCTAACCAACTCAGTGGGACCCTGTCTTAAAAAGGGTTGGGGATGCCAGGTGCGCCAGCACGTGCCTATAATCCCAAAGGCTGGGGATGTAGCTTAGTGCCCCTAAGTTCAATCCTGGGTACCCCCTGCCCCCCAAAAAAGGGCTGGGGATGTGGCTCACTGGTAATGTGCCCCTGGGTTCAATCCCTAGTACATAGCTCCTATCTTTCAGAAGTATCCCTCTTTTTTTTGTGTGTATATAGCTCCTTTGTAGGACAAACAACAGAACATAGTGCTAAAACATATGAAGTCTAGAACCAGACTGCTAGGGAATGATCCTGTCTTTGCCACTTATACTGTGACTATGAGCAAGTTATATAACTTAAAAAAAGGGTCATAAGAGAACTTAGCTCTACAAAAGTGTTGTGACGACTAAATGAGTTTTTAAGAAACACATATAAAGCTCTCAGAATGCTATGTGGCAAAGAATTATGTATTAAGTTGAAGAAGGTGTTTATGGGGAGTCATAATTTGGCACGGTTTGACAGATTTTTGAAGAGAATCATACAGGATTTAGCTTACATTTCACACCAGAGAGATACAGTTAACTTCTGCTCTTAGACCAGAACAATTTAGTCATTTACTAATTAAAAGGCAGGGTTTATGTCATTTATAGTCTAGAAGGTAGCTTCACATGTTTTAAATCCCGAGTTTTTTTTTCCTTCCTATTCTCATTACAAATAAGTTGAAATTATTTTTTGTCCTTCCAAGGTGGGCAAAAGTAACACTATTAAAGACAAGATTGGCTTACTGCCTTAGGTAGGTGTGCAATAAGGAAAGCACTGACTCTGAATCAGAAACACTTTGATCTCAAACCTTTGACTCTCTGGCAAGTAAATTAACATCTGTTATTGAAGATAATCCCTGGTTCACAGTAGAATAAACTTTTCTGCATTTAGCAGCCTGCCTGCAAACTCTACTGAATTATATAAAAACAAAACTAAATAAATGAAGTTTCAAAATATTTAGTGAAAGGAAGATGTATTTATGATCTATTCCCTCCCCAAAGAGCCTAAAAAATGACCACTTTGGTACCAGTGTTTTGTCCTTTAATCTCAGTGGGATAAAACAGCAGCTTCATTAAAGCTGTTCTGTTACGTTTCTGGCTGAAAAGCCCAGGTTGGTTTAATTTAGTGATTAGTTTCCAAATAATTACTTTGTTAACTCTGACAGTGCATTTCCATAGATTTTTATTAATTTGATATAAAACTACTTTCTTACTAAATTCTTACTACATTCATATGCTTACTACATTCTATTGAAATCAATAATTACATCACATTTATTTCTTGTAATCTAAGCAATGGAATTTATAAAAAATACCATAAAAGATAGGGACTGGGGATGTAGCTCAGTGGTAGACTACTTGCTTACCAAATAGCCCTGGATTCAGTCTCCAGCACCAGGTAGGGCTATACTGTAACAAATCTAAAACGAGTTAGAGAAATATAAATTTTGTACATAGGGCAACATAAAAGTCTTGATATAGTTTATCATCTTTACAATAATGCAAACATAGTATTTGATTTTACACTTCATTTTTCATTCTTACTCAAAAAGATCTGCATAAAAATGATGCTGCCTCTTGTGCAGTTCATTATGAGATAAGTTATAGACTGATTTCTAAACACCAATATAACCATTTAATAGCACAAGATTTGGAAAACAGTTCTTAAATTCATTAAGAGTCATACCTTCTTTGTTTTGGGGTACTTTGTAGGACATTTATTAAGTGCTGGGACTTCAGTTTCAGTAATTATTTCTGCTACTGCAGTTTCAGTTTCTGGTTCTATGGCAAGTACAGTATTTTCGATATCATTTTGTTGTGATGTAACTTCTATATCAGGAGAAGATGGTTGGATATCTGAACACATGCTGACAGTTCTGTGTCTCCGACGCTGCTGTCCAATATGAGTCCTACTTCGAGAAAAACTTTTTCTCTGTTTTGTTCTATTCACTTTGGCAGGGGTTGGCTTGTTAGCAGTTTCTTCCTTTACTTGTTCCTAATTCAAAATACAATACAATAGAATTTTATGTTTATAGATACTTCTACTTCAGAAGATATCTTGACAAAATTTATGAATTCACATAATAAATTCACATAATTAAAAATGTTATTACTCAAAAACAAAGTAGTATAGTGTTAGATTCCAAGTCTTAAGTTTCCCATCAGACCTAAAAACTGCACAATTAAAAATTTACTACAGATTTAACTCAATTGTGTATGTAAATTTGTTGGTTTGTATACCCAGGGGTACTCTGCTACTAAGCCACACTCCCTGTCCTTTTTATTTTGAGACAGGGTCTCACGTTTAAGGCTGACATGTGAGCTCCTCCTGCCTCAGCCTCCCAAGTCACTGGGATTATAGGCCTGTGCCACCATGCCCAAATGGAAATTTTATTTGAAATAGTTTAAATGGGAACATAAAACTAAACCTGAATAATACCTGAATAACTTCAGCATCACTGACAAGCTGTGCATCTTTACATTCAGTTTTAACTTCAGTTTTGGCTGTGCTGATCCGTTCCAAAGCTTGTTCTCGTCTTTTCTCTCTCTTTTCAAGTCTGGCAAAAGCTTGCAAAATTGCTTCCATTTTCCTTTCTTCTCTAGTCTACAAGATTTCAATTTTATTAGTCATTGCTCTGAAGTAAATATTCTAAAGTCCAGATCAGATGTACAGGCAAATTATAAAATTTTTTACTATGATACTGTTAGCAAACCAAGTCTGTTGTTATTAGATATGGGGGAAAAAAACAATTTATATTCATTCAAAATCTAAAAATCCCAAACATC